GCTGGAGCTGTGTCAGGGCAGGCTCAGGGTGGATCTCAGGGAAAGGTTCTTCCCCCAGAGGGTGGTTGGCACTGAACAGGCTCCCCAGGGCAGTGGGCACAGCCCCAAGGCTGCCAGAGCTGCAGGAGGGTTTGGATGATCCTCTGGGGCACAGGGGGTGACTCTTGGGGCTGGGCCTGTGCAGGGCTGGACTGGATGATCCCTGTGGGTCCCTTCCAGCTCAGCACACCCTGTGACTCTGTGTTTGCTTGATCTTCCCTCCATGTTCTAAAAATGTTGATATTTTCAGAATATACATTTCTCATGTGTTCCAAATTCCACATCCTGCAGACAAATGAGATCTAAGTGTACTCAACACCTTTCTCAAAGCACGGAGGAAACAATCTGAAAACAGCTTTCCCTGTCACCTTAGAGTAACTCCCATGCTTTGAATACCAGCCCAGGCTCCCCAGCAGCTCTGGGCAGCTCCATGACATGGGTACGTGGCATTTTACAGTTCCAAGGGTTTCTCTAAGATGTAGGTCTCTGTTAGAAGTAGTTTTGAACTTGCACTAACAACTGGCCTCACAGTGATATCCAACCTGAGAAGGGTTTGACTGTAAACCTTTGCCTATCCTAAGGTATTAAATTCATACTACAGACTAAGCACAGCTTTGCTCTCAGGAATGAAAGACATCACAAAGTTAACGAGCTTCTTCTATATTTACCACTTTCCATCTTAGTTCCACAGATCCTGCTTGCACTGACCACATATGGAACTGCATTAATGCTACTGGGATAACTCCAAGAAAAAGAGAAAAACTCATCCAATAGGAAGCTTCAAACAGCAAAAGACCGAGAATATTCCCAGCCTAAGAGGATTAGAAACAAAGAGGAACTCTCTCAGCTGAACAGGAAATTTCCTTTATTATTGAACTAGCAAACATATATGGTAAGATCTAGACACTAATTCAATATACAAAATGCATGCAGAATGCAGTGAAACAAGCTCGTTAGTCGGTCTGAGCTGCTCCCACTTGTGTACTCTGAACTAATTAGCCAATACACATTCATTCTCATACTGGTTTTATGTGTAAATGCACTGTTTTAGGAATTATTAACACAGAATTTTAGGGTTCACAGAACTGGGACTCTTCAGGCCGACACACTTGTATGTTATGATTTACACCTGAATTACATGATTTTGGTTTTGCCTGCCAACAGGTGAAATGACTGCACTGAAAAATTAATGATTCCTACCCAGTGACTCCTTTGACAGTGCTAAGGTGATTGCAATGCCTAGTAATGCTAAATTTGCCTTAGTAATGCTGTTTATGCTTTTCCTCTTCAGAGCACTGCACAAAACACTTTTCCAAAGTGCTCTGAGTCATTTGCTAGAAATATTTCGCTATTACATTGACTCCAGTGACATTTAGATTCCACTCAATAAAGGGGGTGTGCCAACCAATTGCTCCAGTTCCTGAGGCCCACATGGCTGTGTTTGTCCTGAGCTCCTGCCCAGGGGCACTTTGCTCCTGGTG